TACAAAGTAGGCTGAATACAATAAACAATACACAAAACACGCATACAACAGCACACATTTTACAATAGTACAGCACTAATGCGACAAAGTACCAATTCAACGTTCAGTTACAATAGCGATTTTGTAGACAAATTTGTAAACGGTGACAAAATTAAACACGTCTCGCCAAAGATGAGGAACACTATTATGATCAGTGCCAAGATTTAGGCATGTTGAGCAAAACAATTCACGAATGATTTGTTACAAATCCCATTCGCATTTCACGCTGACGAGGGGTCGGCGGCAGCCCGATTCAAGGTCACCATTGCATGGGGTCTGTCAAAATGGCAAACACGACTTTGGGCAGTGAAAAGGCGTCTTAAACGAAAAGGACACAACAGAGACAAAATTAGGGCGTCGCGGTTGAATCGATTAGGACTGGGCTCAGATTTAGTCGAGGAATGGTGATCCAGTCAGTGCAATGGCCGTCGTCGCCGTGCTCGAGCATGTACGCGCACTCTTCAAACCATTCGCTTTCCCAAACTTCTCCATGGCAGCCCAGTTCGCACGGCTCGCAAGCATTAGGATCTAGTTCATCGCAGTAGTAGGATGCATACACTATTAAGTCCAGCGAAGGGTTTTTGGACAGTAGCGTTTCCACCGACTCCCAGTGCAGATACCCGTGGGCACAACGTGGAGCGTTGGACTCTGTCGGGTGCAACTTAATGGTCCGCAAGGCAGGGTTCGTTGCGGGCGTGATGGCTAGCAGCAGCGCTTCTGACGCCGTGTCTAGCTCTAGTTCCCGGAGGGCTGGCATCAAGGGCAGGGCGCTGATCACCGGTTGTAGCTGGGGCTGGAGATCGAAGGTTGAAAATAAGTATTCGTTGATATCGATGGTCAACGACTCTACAAGAGAAGGCCCAGACGACACCAGGGCGAGAACCAGGTCGACGCCGACGCCATTAATAGAGGCCTCCTCTCTGTACTCTAAAGTGACGTTGCGCAGCTGTTTGGCACGGCGCAGAAACTCCTTGGCCTGCGGCACGGCATCCCGCATCCTGCTACACCCCACACCGAGCGACACCAGCTCCAGCGACTCGCACGCTGCCACGGCGTCCAGTCCGGGAAGAAGCGGGCAGTGGTAGAGCCCCCGTAGGTTGGGTATGCCTGCCAGCAGTGAGGCCGTCGAAGTCAGGGCCGAGGTGGAGAAGTTACAATTGCCCTCTAAATCAACGTCCTCCAATGTGTCGGCGTGGGAGGCCAACACGAAGTCACAGAAGGGACCCAGATCTGGTCTCAGGTTGCACGTAAATGTCCTGAGTGATGATCTAGGCCTGGCTGTTGGCAGGCTGTTCGTGGAGATGACGTACTCATGCCGATCACTAACTGAGACTGCAAGCGCAACCAGCCCGGAGGTGAACGCAACCGGCCAGAGGAGAGCGGGCGCATCAGCGACAGTCTCTTCAGCCCAATACCGAACGTCAAGGTTCCTGAGCCGGCCGAGCATCTCCTGGTTAGCGATCACCAGAGCCGCGAACACGGCGCTCCCGTCCTGCACTATCAGTGATAAAGATGAGACGGCACACCTTGTGATGGAATACAGCTGCTGATGGTCCGCCGGGAGCACAACCGAAAGACTTGCCAGGCAGGGCGCGAGTCGCAACACCGGCAACAAGTAGCGGTTGTGGTCAGAGACTCGTTGCCGCCGCCACACGTGCGGGTGCAGGGCCAGGCCGCCAATCCTCTTGCACACGAGGCGGCACGCGAGGAGGTCCGGCACGTCCAGGTACTGCATCACCGTCAGCAGCACGTCCTCCGGCAGGTGCTCCATGACCTGTGGGGACACGGGCGGGGTACGGTCAGAACAGGAAACAGAACGCTCCAGGTCCAGGGGAACAGGCGGGGCACGCGCACTAGTGCACCGGTTGTAACTGTGAATGCGCAGCAGTGTTGCGGGATTGCATACCCGCCAGGGCTGCAGGGGCCATGGCACCTTACGGGCGAATTGGGTCGGCAAACCCGCAACACTGCTGCGCATTCACAGTTACACCCGGTACGACGGCTACAAGGAAACAAACGTACCTTTCCGTGCGTGTTATGAGGAGGTCAAACTCGATGTCGTCCCGCTCGTCGTGAACCCCGACCGCCTGACCGAGACCTGAACCTGAAACAGCCTTCGCGCTGCCTGCTGCAGCTGCCTTGGATGCTGGCCGACTGGTGACTGCTCTGATCTGAAAGCAGATGAGCAGCCACGCCGGTGTCACCCTGCTCCCCCACCCCGACCTGGGGCCTGGAGCGAGGCCGGCCAGGGCCAGGGACTTTCCCCAGAGCAGCGACTGTACTTCCCCTTCCCTCACGGCGGCGGGGAAAACTAAACTTGTAACAGCTGGGGTTCCTGTCCTGTGTAACGCATCACGCTGAATAAAGCATTCCGGTAAAGCTAAAATGCAGAAGAATGCGAGGAAGCAGAAAAAGGAAATCACTATGCCTTTTACATGGGACTTCCGTTTTCTTGTTCCCTGCATTCTTCTGCATTTCAGCTTTACCGGAATGCTTCATCGTAAGATATAAAAGAAAAGCATGACTACCCGACCTGTTTCCTCCTGAGCGCTGATTTATCGACGATGACGTCGGTGTGTCAGTCAGCCAATGAGCGCGCAGTAGGAAAGGGATTGAGAAGTCATGCTTTTCTTCTCTAGGTTCCTGTTTTCCTGCAGCGGAATACCCTATTATCCCGGCCCGGTCTGTTCGCGGCCGTAGCGAGCCGCGCCAGCCCCCGTTTGGCTGCTACCAACAATCGCAACGCCCCGAGCGACGCGAGCACCGGCGAACACCCCGCGAAATGACAGGCCGCGATTCGCGAGGATGTGCTCCCCTGCGACGGGGGTGATTCGCGGGCCACCACACAGCAGGGGAAACAGCGCTGGTCGCGGGTCTATCGTCGCGAGTTTCCGGACCGGACCGGTGTGGCTGATGCGGATTTCTACGGGAAAAGTTCCTTCCGACTCAATTTTTGACGGAAAAATTTTGCTCACAGCTTGTTTTTATCAGAGAGTTCTATTCTACCAGTTCAAGGTCGAGTTTTTTTGTCCACGAGCCCCTTGACCGTTTCTCACCCTACTAATCGACCTTTTTTTTTTTTGCGATACTATTGCGGTACTATTTTACCAGAGTCCCACCTTCAGAGGCGCAAACACGTAGTACCACGTGCCGCTACTGTGCCCCCACCCCTCCTCTTTTTCTCGGAATCCCCCGGGGGCGCACGGGCGACGGGCTGCGGCGGGCCGGTCGGGAACTCCAGGAGGCACACGTCTCGTCCACCAGACCGCGACTCCACCACACCACATCATCCATCATCAGTCGCTCTCCAGCTCCATCCAGCTCCAGGTCATCACGCCAGCGCTCCATACTGCCAAAGAGGTACGTGGGCCGATCGGTAGTGTGCATCTGCCGTGTGTTCCAGAGAGGTCATCCTCTCTTGCGTGGCGAGTGTTTCCCTTGCTGACCAGAGCACTGCTTCCAGATGCTGGGGTACTTCTCTGACGAGGTGCTGCTCGCGCTGATGCAGTACCTGGACGCGCCGGCCCTGCTCGCCTGCCGCCTCGTGTGCAAGCGGCTCGGCGGCCTGGCGCTGGAGCCCTGCCTGTGGAAGCACCAGCGCGTCCACCACGCGGACCCCTGTGCCGGCCCGGTGCTGCGGCTGGCGCCGTGCCTGGGCGAGCTGAGCGTCGGCCCCGAGTGCTGCCCTACGTCAACGGACCCCGTGGAGGACCTCGAGGAGACGCCCCTACAGTGGCGACGTGCGCTGTACATCACGACCGGGTGCGCCGTGGCCGAGCTGCGCCTCACCGTGAACGACAGGAACGTGGCCTTCGCCGCGATGGTGATCCGCAAGCAGGCGGCGCTCGGCCGTCTCAGGCGGCTGCATGTGCTCTTCTCTGACTTTCGCCGGGACGCAGACGCCTCCTTGCTCTTGTCCACGGTGGCGTCGACTCGCGGCCTCGAGAGGGTCGTGCTGCCCACGGTCCGTGAGTACCACTGCGGCTCCTGCTCGAGCCTGGAGAGTCTCCTCCGATCTGCACCCGGGCCCGTCGTGTCGTCCCTGAAGCACTTCTGCTGCAGGGCGAGCCCGCCGCTGAAGCGGTTCATCAACGTCATGCTGGCCGCGCACGCGTCGACCCTGGAGGTGGTCGAGCTCGCCGACGGCGCGGCCGTCTCCGGCCTCACCGAGACGGCGACCTTGCTCGCCGGAATGCCGAATCTCCGCGAGCTGCGGACCGCCTTGCTCCCCGGGCTGCAGGTCGCGGCGGCGTGCGAGTCGCTGAGGGAGGTCACCCTGTTCGTGAGAAGCGAAACCCGAGGCAACGTCGAGGACGCCAGAGAGTTCCTGAGCCGCGCCGACCAGCTGCGCGCCGTCTCCCTGAAGTACTCCTCGTGGCTACTGAAGTATCCGGACGGCGTCGGCGCCAGCCTGGACCTGTGCAGGGCCTTGGCTGGTCCGTATCATCGGCCCCTCCTGGAGTCGTTGGTGATCCTCGACGACCACTCCTACAAGGAGGATCGCTTGTACCCCCACCTGCAGGCGGTGCTCGACGCGCTGCCCTCGCTGCCCGCCCTGCGACACCTGGAGCTGAACGCGGTGCTGGACAGGCTGGTCGGGAGCATCACGCCCGACACGGCACCGGCCCTGCGGACGCTCCGGCTGCACCGGTTCGTGGGCAGCGGCAAGACGTGCGCCCACTCCTACCTGCACGGCGGCTCGGCGCAGACCCTCCTCAGGGACAACCCCGCGCTCGACCTGCACGTGTACGCGCCCTACTACTGCGACACGGAGGAGGACACGCAGGACAACTACTGGTCATGTGAGGCCATGCCGATGCAGTCCCCTTGTGAGGCGTGTGTCCTGGGCTGCCACGAGGAAATGATCGTTAGCCACCGGCAAGTGGTGGCGAGCAACCCCTACGCCGACTTCGTAGGGCACACGTGGGTTAACATTACTCGGTGTCTCTCCGGTGCTGCATCTTACCGGTGATTTTTCGGCAGTCTCCAAGACTGTCTCTACCAGAATGAAATGAAATGTGTCTCACCTCGGCTTGCTATTTCTCGTTTGTTGTTGAAATGTTTATTGTTTGTTTTGGTTCGTGTAAGTTTTTCTTGTTAACTAGATGTTTTATACCCATATATTCAGGTATCTATGAATTTTGAATGAATGATCCATTGGAAAACGTCAACATTTTGTTTATAGTTTCCGAAAATTCAAGTACGGTAAAACGCATTTTCCAAAAGAAAAGAGCAGTCACGACAGAATCATGACATTGTCTACAGTTTTTCTCAAAAAGACTGCTAAAAACACTGCTAGCTGTTCAGTGAACGAAGAACGTAGAAAAATGGGGTGGGAGAATACATAATTGTGCTGTCTGAGCCAAACTGCGAAGTGATGTGAGGAATGTGAGAGGGGTGTAGAACTGGGTGGCTGCGCTGCCGTGGTAGTCGTGCCGGCTCACCTTTATTAACCTCGGTGGTACGTATTGGAGGTGCGGGATTAAAGAAGTAATAGGGAAGCTGGATAAAAGCGGGATAAAACAATGAGGCAGGGCAGCTCGAGGGTAGAAAGGGTGTAAGGGAGGAGAAGGGGGGGGGGGGTAGGGGAAGAGTGAGACGGGTATACAACTGGGAGGGACAGGAAGTGTGGACCGATGGAGCGAGGTGGGAGAAGGGCGAGAGTGAGAGAGAAAGAGAGGCCCGGGGAAAGGCGAGAGGGGTGGTTTGGAGAAGAGATAGAGAGGAGGATAAAAATAAAATACATTGAGAGAGAGAGAGAGAGAGAGAGAGAGAGAGAGAGAGAGAGAGAGAGAGAGATCGCGGTTTGCTGAGGAGCGGGGAGAGGTGCAGCGCGGTAGCGAGTCAACACTTTTACGATTGTAGGTCGGCGGTCCCTTTTCTTTTTATGTTTATTCTCGCAACTCTTTCCCCGCCTAGTCCCTGCCGAGCTTCCTGTCCGTGATCCTTGTTTATTTTAGTTTCTCGCTCTCTATCTCCGTCTCGCTCCCTCGCTCCGCGATGTCCTCGCGGCTCATTATCGCGGAGTAAGTCGCGAGAGTTCCATGGGGTTCGGTAATAAACGTGAGAAAGCGACAGAAAGAAGAACAATAATTGGGAGAGGATCTTTTTATTTTGTGTGTGGAAGCAAAAAAGGGGGGGGGGAGGCGTGCGTTGTCTGGAGCAACTTGCTGCTAATGCTAAGCGGCTTAAAGGTGGATCATTTGGAAACTAGTCATCCGACCAATCGCAACCCCTCCCCCTTCTGCACAAATCTTTCCTCTTTCCCTCCCCTTTGTTCTCCTCTTTATTTTCTGTTCTTTTTTTTTTTTTTTTTTGAGTCGTGGGGAGAGAGGAGGATTTTTCCAGTATCTTTAGGAAATCCCTTCGCACTCGCCGGCCTCACGCGCACGAGGGATTGCAGGAGGAGGGGGGGGGATCTACCGGGTCGACCGGGCAGCCCTGCGGATGGACAACACGCTGGGCACCGCAGGCCTACTCTCAAATCGGAAAGGTACGTAACAAACACAGAAGAAGAAGAAGAAGAAGAAGAAGAAGAAGAAGAAGAAGAAGAAGAAGAAGAAGAAGAAGAAGAAGAAGAAGAAGCTCGTGCACCGGCTTCGACACAGTTGCGGCGCCAGAAATGGTCGGAAACCCCACCACCACCACCAGGTCCACCCTGCGGCCCCCAACCGGCTGCCCGCGGCGCCACCGCTCAGCATGTCGATTGCGATTTAACAGCTTCACAGGTTTCGATAGTTAGGTCATTGCGGCCAGCCGTTACCCGGCACGGGATGATTTTCGGCACAAACTTTGCCTTCCGGATCGCGCGCGGCGTGGCGTTGGCGCGGCGCGCGGGGTTGCAGCTGGCCCTGCGGCAACTGCTGGCGACAGCAGCGGTCTATATTCAATGCCGAACGCTCTACCGTGCTCGGAGAGGGAGAGGGGGGGGGGGGCACTTACTGCGAGGGGTACGGGACAACGCTCTTTACTCGATACACACGATGTAGGGACCGGCCGGCAAGCGCAGAGGGCAGCGA